GATAAAGGGCTCTGGACCTATGGTCAGGAGCACTAGAATTGGTCCCAATTCTTCCCCTCTTGGACTCAATAATCTTGAGCAAATTAGTCTTTGGGACTCAGTTTCACCATGTGAGGCAGTCAGGTGGCAGAGTGGGCAGAGTGCTAGGTGTAGAAGAAGGGACTTGCCCAAGCTAGTGTCAGGGGTGAGATTTGAACTCAAGCCTTCTGACTCTCGAACTCATTCTCTTTCCAACTGCACTGGGGGGCCCTTCAGAGGTGCCTTTGGAGGAGGGGTGGGAGGTGGAGCTAAGCATGAAAGACCTCCAGAGCCAACCTGGGGAGAGGCACCCTCCCCAGCGATGAGACACATTCCTCCTGATAGGAGCTTGTTTTCTTGGGATTCCAAACTTTCTGCTTAAAAAAAAAAAAAAAAAAAAAAGAGCCAAGAGGGAATTTGGAATTCAAAACCTGGGTTTGGTTCCTGAATCCATTCATTGATGCTGAGGTCAGCATCCACACCTGAAAAGGGGCAGGGAAATAATCATACTTGCTAGACTTACCCCCGAAAGGTTTTGAGGGCAGGGTGCCAGAAAGCACCACAGAAAGGGAGATTACCTTTCTAGCCTTTGGCCGCCAAACTTGTTAATATAACAGGGTGAGCTGAATTTGCTGGCGAGGATGTGGTAGGTGGGACATACTGGGGAAGAGGGTCTGCGCAGGGAGGAGAAATTCAAGGATAAATTCCCAAGGTTGCTCTCCCCTTCTGGGGTGTGCTTCTTTCCTGGCAGACACTGGATCCTCAGATGCTCACGCTGTCTATCTCAAGGTCTTCTTGCCCTTCTCCAGCCAGAAGCTGCCTCCCAGCAGGCCCCAAGTGGGCCGGGGACAAGAGGGCTTAAATCTGAGCTTCGCAAAGGCATAAAGTTACCTTAGCTGTCTCTTGGGAAGTGATATGTGGGACCCAGAGGAACAGGTGGGAGGAAGCTAGGCTTGGAGCTGCCTGGGCAGCCGGGAAGACACACACACACACACACACACACACACACACACACACACACACACACGCAGAATTCAATGACTCAGAATCTCAAAATGGCACAACTGACCTCAGAGACCATCCACTCCAATCTAAACTTGGGACTCTCACCTCCTTCTTCCTAAATGAGAAAACTAATGTAGTAAATTAACAAAACAGGGCTTCAAACCTTAGAGGAATTTGGTTTGACTCCCAGCCCTGGCATCTGTGACATTGGGCAAGTTCTTGGGCCTCAGTTTTCTCATCTGGCAAATGAGATGAATGGGATGAATGAGGTGACTTCTAAGGTCTCTTCCAATGGACAGAGCACTGGACTTTGGAGTTCAGAGGACTCTAGTTTGAATCCACCCTCAGACACTTACTAGCTGTGTGACCCTGGGCAAATCATGTACCCTCTGTCCGCCTCAGCTTTCCCATCTGTAGAATATACATTGCTGCACCTACTTCGTAGGGTTATTGTGAAAATCAAATGGGACAGCCTACATGAACCACTTAAAGGCTCATCTGAAAGGCTAGCTGTAACCCTGCGTGACCGTGGGCTAGTGACGACTTCTGTGAACCTCAGTTCCCTTAATAAGATCACTGGGTGCAAGTTGTCGACCCCGGGGACAGAGCAGCGGCTAGACCCAGCCTCTCATCCGGCCTGGAGGGCCGACTTGTGATGGGCTTGGCTTCCACCAGGGGGTGCCCACGGCCTGGAGGAGCTGTCCTC